GCCTACCACTAGACAGTCCATGCGTGTTCGCCCTCTCATCCCATCGCCACCGACCTCTCATCCCGCCGCCGCCGACCTCTCCTCCTCCATACACCGCCTCCAGCCCTCGCTCCGACTCCCGCCGGCCCACCCTGCCTCCGTAGCCGCCCGTTTCGTCCCGGGCTTCGGCTACTACCGCGTGCCCCCGCCGCCACCGCCGCCGCTGCCGCCGGCGGCGAGCGGTGGCGCAGGATCCCATCACTCGCGCTCGCTGTCGCAACCCCAGTTCTTCTCCATGGACTTTCTCTTCCGGCCCCCGTACCCCGATCCGTCTGCGCCATCAGCGATCGCGCTCTCCCCGCCGCCGCCGTCGGGCTCAGACCGGGGGGCGTCCGGACTGCCGCCGCCGTCGGGCTCCGAGCGGGGGGCGTCCAGACTGCCGCCGCTGCGGGCGGGGCATCAGCGGTCGCAGAGCGACGTTCTCCTCGCGTTCTCCTCCCAGCAGAACCTGCCCATGCCACCTCCGGCGCCGGTGAACGCGGAGGCCCTGGTGGCCGCGAACAACAGCACCCTCGACGGGATCCTCGGCGCCTACAACAAGAGTACGAATGGCCTGGGCGCGGTCGGCTCCTCCGGGCCCGTCGGCCAGGAGCAGCGCGACCAGCTGGACAGCCAAGCGCCCGCTTGGAGCCCCGGTGACAGCAGCGAGAACGAAGCCGAGAGCGCGGACGGCAGCTTGCCCAGGCATTGCCGCAGCTTGTCGGCGGACAGCCTTGTAGGGAAGTTCAAGTTTGGACCGTCCGGCCTGGAGCCGTCCAACTCCAACTCCAACTCCAACCCGCCGCCTCCATCTCCGGGTCCGGGGCCGGGTGCTGCTGCTCGGCTGGCACGCAGTGGAAGTGGTTCCATTGGTGGCGCCGCTGCTCTCTTCGCCAAGGAATTCGCAAACAGTAAGGAATTCAGTGAAGCAGAGAAGAAGGTTATCATGGACAGTGAGCACCTCGCGCAGATTGTGCTGACCGATCCTAAGAGGGTCAGGAGGTGTGTTGGGCGTCCATGATCGCAATAAAGTTGTCATTGGTAAAAATGTTTCACTTACTGAAAATTGATCATATCTTGTAAAATTTTCCAGGATCCTAAACAATCGGCTGTCTGCTGCTAAGTCAAAGGAGCGCAAGGCAAAATACATAGTGGAGCTTGAGGGCAAGGTTCAGGTGCTGCAGGGGGAGACTATGAACTTATCTGCACAAGTGAAAATGGTTAAGGTTCGTTCTCTGAATTTGGTGGGCCTTTTTCCCCCCTTCTTACAGACAAGAGGCTTTCTGGCCCAGCTTTAAAAGTGGTGAGCATTTTGATTTGTATTTGAAGGTTTGACAGTCCTAGTTACTGTGAATGCATGTATTTTGCAGAAGGGCCAGGCTAGGCTTTCAATTCACAACCATGAGATGAGAATCAGGCTGCAAGCTTTGGAGGAGCAAGCACAGTTGAAAAAGGGTGAGTTTGCTTCCTTATTTTCCAGCATCACTGTAAGTTGCGGTAAAAATAGATAATGAGTCGAAATAGCAGTCAGCGTATGTATGATATATGAGTTGGTGCCCGGTGCTGTATGTTCTGACTGTTCATGTGCAGCTTGCGATGTTGCAATAGAAGTTATGATGATTCCTACAACCAAAACTTGGCTTTGTGTTTACAGTGATAAAAATAGATAATGCTTTGCAACATATAAGCATGTTGGGGCAACTGGAATTCAGGAATTGTTTCGACTGTTAGGGCGACTGGAGTTTTCAATGTTAAGAATTGAATGTGTAGTTCAGAAAACCAAATGGTAGGATGGAGTCTAGGCATAACACCAAAAACATTATGTTGAATTCTGGTGCCGCGTTGTCAAACTAGCGCATGTATGCATGCCTGAATAACTTGATATCGTAGAATATTCTAAATGTGCCACAAAACTTGGATCTTTTGACAATGGTTCCTCTTCTTGTGAAACTTAATTCAAACAGAACCTGCATGTTATTGTTTAATCTCATAATGTTCTCATTCGTTGTCTGGTATATTTGCTTTGTTTATTGACCAGCACTGCAAGATTTTTCTGCTGATTTACTTCAAGTTGTGTTCTTCCAATGGTTGATTGTAAACTATCAGTATTTTGCACTTTTACTTCAGTTGTGTTGAGTCCTGTTAGTCATGTGGTATGCTGTGTTAACGTGCTTGTTACCCCTACTACGCCTATGTTAGAATGAACTTTATTGTTTATTTGTCATAGTCAGTTAACTTGGGTTTTCACTCTGTGTCCAGCTCTGAACGAAGCATTGCATGCTGAGGTCGAACGCCTAAATCTGGTTGTTGCCGAGGCCAGTAATCCTCATATGCCGAACAGTTCAGAGCAACGGATGAGCTCCCAGATGATTCAGCTTCACCAGCTGCAAATTCTGAGGCAACCATCACAGCTCCAGCAAGGTCAGCAACGCCAGCGGAACTTCTAGGATGCTTTCCCAAATGAGATCTTCCAAGGGAAATTTGATACGACAGATTCGGTTAAAAATACCATATGCTCTGGACAATACTTTACTTAGGTCGCGGGAAACAACCATAGGAAGAAAAAAAAACCATCTCTTGTTGTGTCGAAATTATTTTTGTTCAATCCTGGGAAAAACTCCGGTCGATTTTTGAACTGTATAAAGTGTCTGTCTGTCCCTGTAGCTGTGTGCTGGATTCATCGGATTATGGTACAATTCCTTGTGCCCCGACTTTGAACCGATAACTTGATGGAAATGTTTGGGGCAACTCCAGTGGCATGCTTTGTTGTTTGTACCTCATATCATTGTTTTCTCCATTTTGCGGTTTTGAGTGATGCACACTGGGTATTACTTGTATAAGCTTAGCTCCATTTGTTGTACTCCCTCCGTCCCAAAATTCTTGTCTTAGATTTATCTAGATACGGATGTATCTAACACTAAAATGTGAATAGATATATCCGTATGTAGACAAATCTAAGACAAGAATTTTGGGACGGAGGGAGTATGATCTAAGCTGCAAGATAACCTGACTGTTTCCCTCGTCGTCACAGCTTGGTGATAGTAGTTGTTTTGGGTTTATTTGTTCTTATTCCGAAGAAGAGCTCAGCTCCGGCTTCAGTTTCAGTGTTGCGATTTTTGCCGCCATTTGGAAGTTTGATTCAGGTTCTACAGTTGTAGATATTAAACTTGCACATATAATGCATTGCCAGTAACATTCATCAAAGTACTAGGTAATAAAGGTGTAAAAGGGAAAGCTCACAAGGATATCTGCCAATATATGCTTTTGAGCAATGAAAAAGGCTGGAAAAGGTTTGATGAGGAGTTCATGGTATTTAATCATTGGAGACCTTAAGGTGTAAGTAAACATTGAGCATGTAGAGGGACAAAGGACTACTGCCATCTTTTTGCCTTTAATTTTTTGATTTTAACAAGGGAAAGTTGAGTTGACATCTTTACCCTTTTGATCAAAGCTGCCTTTCATTTTCCTCCCCCTTTTCTTTTCAAAAGCCAGCCAGACAAAAACTTGGTTACATTAATCTCTGCACTTCAAATTAAACATATATAATGTGCAACCATGATCAAGCCACAAATCACACAAATTTTCTGGTTTTAACAAGAGAAAGTAGAGTTGACATGTTTGCCCTTTTGATCAAAGCTGCCTTCCATTTTCCTCCCACCCTTTTCTTTTCAAAAAGAGCCAGCCAGACAAAAACTTGCTAACTAATCTCTGCACTTGAAATTAAACATATAATGTGCAACCATGATCTATTGATCTTGCCACAAATCACACAAAGTAGGTCCAAGAAAAACCCTGTGGTTGATCGATAAGCACAGATCATCAGACAGCCAGCCATCATCAACACCTAGACAAAGTAGCACAAGCACAACAAGGAGCCACCAAGACCAAGGAGAACGGCGGGAAGCTCAGCAGCCGGGGGCAGCCTCTGCCGGCGGTAGCACCACCTTGCACAGGTTGGCATGCAGCGCGAGGTTCTCGCGGCGGAGCGCGCCAGCCCTCTCCCGGAGCCTCTCGTTCTCCGCAAGGATGCGCCGGTTCTCCAGGTGGAGCCTCAGGTTCAGCATCGCCATCTCCGCCCCTCCAGCAGCCGCCCTCCTCAGCTCCCTCCTCCTCCTCCTGATCAGCCTTAACCTGAAAACATCAGGCGTAGCTGCATGTAAGCACACATGCACGCAGCATCATGCTCCATAAGCTCCATTGCTGCTGCTGCCACAGTTAATCTGGAACAGGAACAAGCTGAGATGTTAATTACCTCTTCCTCCTGAGAGTCACTGAGACATGTGGCTTCTTCTTCCCCTGCTGCCTGATGAACAGCACAGCAGGAGGTGAGGAGTTCCAGGATGCAGAGCTGCACATGTTGGTGAGGCTCCTAGAAATGACTTGTGAGGAGCTCAAGGTGTTTGAAGTGAGCCGTCTGTCGGCAACGGCAACACACGCCGCATATATAGGGTGGATTTGGCCTTGGCTTTCCTGGCTTTGGCGCCGTACGTACGTGAGCCTGCCGTGGTGAGCTTTAGGTGTTTTGTTTGGTGGTGCATGCACACACGTACTATATACCTTTGAGGTTTGACATGACACCATGCATGTGAAGGATAGGAGATATGGAGGCAGGCGTTCCTCTCCATCATGCCTAGCATGGACCATGTACATGCCAAGGGATCCATATCTTCCATGAACTAATCATTCCGCACACGGTCTCATCTCAAAAGTAAAGAAAAAAGGAGAGTGAATGGATAAAAATCGATGCAATTATTACATGGGTTTTGGATGCTATGGCACATTGCACACGAGACACCATGATCTACCTTTTGACATGGACGCCGAGGCTTGGAGGACAAAAGAAGAGAATCATTTCAGCAGGGAAGCCAAGCTCCAACCTCCAAGAAACCAATGCGCTTAGTTTCTACGCTCTTCTAATTAATCGTGCCAATCCGCTTCAAAAGTTGACTAAGAAAGAAAGGCATGTCACGCTCTGCATCGTGCGGAGTATCATTGAGGCTTGAGCGAAGGTGTTGGCGTGCGTGCATGATGAGGCTTGAGAGTTTTTCCTTGCCACTCCATCGAGGCAAGAGACACACCAAGTCAAAAGGCTTTCGAGCGAGCGTATCATTCTTCTTTGCTCCTGCGGTTTCTTCACTAAAATGATACGTTGACACGCCTTTTGTACTCTCCATGATGCGCTCCCCATCCTTCCATACATAGCACTTGCTTTTCGCGATGAATACTAGTGGTTATCCCTCTCTTGCAATTTGCAAACTCTTCTTTTCAATCAGTCACTACAAAGTTGGAATTGTGCACTGCTGAGCATGGAATTGCATGTACTTTAGTGAGATGTGAGTAGTTGTTTTGGTTTGCACGTTATGGATGCAGTAACTCAGAAATGAGGATGCAAAGGCTTAGAAATGCGACTGTGATATATTCTCCTTGAGCCTCGGATCTATTGGTGTCACCCTATTGGCTAGGCTCGCAAGGAGCGAGCTAGACCACCCGCGCTCGAGTCCGGAGTGGCGCATGGTGCTTAGAGACTTTCTTCCATAAAAATATGCCTCCAAGGGCTAGTTCTAGATGGTCTCAGATTTTTTTTAATGGCCACACGTTGATATGGATCTAAGGAACGCATAACTAGTCTAGTCAAGCCCGGTGAAGTGTTGGTGGTAACATATGATACACAATTAATGCATGGCGATACCGCGATAATAAAGAAAATAATAAGAGTAATTGATTGTATTGATCATATAATCTTCACCAATACAAAAGAGGAAGAAAAGATTGCGTAATTAATGCACCATCATAAGTAAGAAGATATGGAGGGTAATAAATGATATTAATTACGTAATATTTGGTCCATACAAAAAAGGAAGAAAAGATTGCGTAATTAATGCACTGTCATAAGTATGAAAATATGGAGGGCAATAGATGATATTAATTACATAATATTTGGTACATACAAATTAGGAAGGAAATATTTTGTAATTAATGTGTGATAATAACTAGGAAGAAAATCACAAAAGATCACAATGATATTGATTAGGTTGCAAAATGGCTGACTCAAATAACCATAGCCTCGTGGCTCCTCGCGACGCGACTCCCGATGGCGTGTCTGGTCTAAGAGCATCACCAAGGGCAACGGACAAATTTGAGCCCCCGTATGTATATGGACATATCCGCGGACAGCAAGGGGTCGAGCCCTAGTTGTCCGCACCGACAACGGTGCTCCTCATTTCCCCTCCGCAAGTCTGTGCAACGTAGATCATTCGATTAAATACATTCTATATTCCATAGTTAACATATGACAAATTAAAACATAGGACATGACGACATAGTTTAGCATAGGACGGGAAACTACTACAAAAATGAGCATTAGAGATGGTTTTGGTACATGGGCATGCGGTAGTTCCACATTTCGCGTCAAAGTCTGTGTTGCTAATACTCAGAAAATAGGAGGGGGTTTCAAAACTGCCTCGAATATGTTCGCCCGCGGGCAGTTCCTACAATATAACCGCATACAATGCTTTAAGGCCCTGAGATGGTTTCCAGTACATAACCATCTGGAATACTTTAACATTCGAAGCGGCTTCCTTTTTACAACTGCCTCCAATAAGGTTCCCCTACTAAGTCGTACCACAAAATTTTGAATCTCACATAAAAGATATATTCAACATAGGACGGGACACTACTACATAAAGGAGCATTAGATGTGGTTTCCTACAATATAACATCTTCCAATTATTTAAGACTATGAGGTGGTTTCCAGTACATAACCGCCCGGAATACATTATCATTTGAAGCGGCTTCCTTTTTACAACGGCCTCCCGTAAGGTTTCCCTACCAAGTTGTACCACTGAAATTCGAATTTCACATAGAAGACATATACATATATAGAGGTCTGCATGTTCTAATTCACCACACAAGTCAATTGCATCTCATAATACATTCAAATATGTTGAAGAGTTACACATACTTCACAATCTACATATGAAAGATGATCTAAAATCAAAAGATTTATCACATCTAACATAGGAAATGAAGATCTAAGATCCAAAGATTCATACACTACCCATCTCACGTGGGGAAAAAAATAGAGGCACCACTATAGGAAGGAGATGACGAGAATGATCATTTCACTGCTCTCTATCCAAAATTCGATCAAAATGCCAGTGAAAATGTTCCTGACGAAACACGCCGACACTTTCACCAATAGGTAGACTTGTAGCACCACTGGTGATCTTTGTTTGTGCAGTGTCACAAAAGTATTTCCTTCATGTTAACCATTATTGCTAGTGCAATAGCTCGTGTCTGGACATACGCAGCCAATAGGTGGTGCAATTTATTTTGTATAGCACACAATTAGCATCCCAGTCATTTTGTGCAGTGCAACTAAAAATTACTTACATATGAAAAACATGATTAACTTGTTAGAAATCAAATGCAAACAAATTTAATTAGT